CTCGACACCTTCATGTACTTTCCCAGAGTAAACACAAGCTGTTAAAACACCAAGGAAACTAACAGAATCTGGCTCCAATCCAGAACGCTCCAACTCCAAAAACAAACCCATAGCTCTTTCCACGTACCCATTATTAGCTAAACCAAGAATCATCGAGTTCCAACACGATAACTGCTTCTCACGAGCCTCCTCAAACACCCTTAAACCTTCCTCAACACACCCACACTTACAATACATATCTATAATCGCAGTAACAACCACACCATTCAACCCAAACCCATTCTTCACTATATACTCATGTACCCATCTCCCTTGCTCACTTCCCCCAAGACAACCACAAGCATTCAACAAACTCACCATCGTAAACCCATCAGGCTTCACACCTCTCTCCTTCTCCATCTCTCCAAAAACCCTCAACGCATCCTTAAACCTATTATTCCTCACAAACCCACTAATCATCGAATTCCAAGAAACCTCATTCCTCTGCGGCATTTCATCGAACAACTCCCGCGCATCATCAACCAACCCAAATCTCCCCAAACCCATAATCATAGAGTTCCAAGCAACAACATCAAACTCAACCATCTCTTCAAAAACCCTCCAAGCTTCCTCAAAACACCCACAAGTCACATACATATACAACACCGTGTTCCTTATAAAGGCGTCGTCTTTAATCCCTTCTTTAATAACCCTCACGTGCAACTGCCTCCCGTCACGTGCCTTCCCAAGAGAAGCATAAGCCTTGAACACAGAAGGGTAAGTCAATCTCCCAGGTTTCACAGGAGAAGAAGACAACAACATGTCGATGAGAAGCGAAATCGACATCTCTGGAAACGAGGTTTTGGAGAAGGCGCGGATCATTGTGTTCCAGATGAATTGGTTCTTGGGGTTGATCCTTGTGAAGAGGGAGTACGCGTGGCTGATGTCTGGTGACGTGGCGCAGGAGAAGGCGAGGACGCGGCTCGCGGCGAGGGTGTCGGAGATTAATCCGGTTTTGATGAGGTTTGCGTGGATTTGTTTGAGGTCTCTCATTGTTTTGCATTGTGTGTCAATTAATTGGAGGTAGGAGTTGTTGTTGTTGTTGTCGGAGAGGGTGGGTGTTGTCGGAATCGTCGCGCCGGAGTAGTGTGAGATCGTCGGATTCATTTTTAAAGGTGGGAACTTTGTGGAGAGTGAAAAAAAAAACTTATCTTTTAAAAAAAGAGATTACACACGTGTGTAAGAAAGAAGGCACTTCCACACGTGTGTTTGTCTCCGCTAAAATGAATAAACATCATGATGTTAAATTAGTACAAAACGGCGCGTAGTTCGCATTAAAATGCATAAAACAGCAGGTTGTTAAAAAAAATAGTATTGTTCCTCGGGAAAATGGGCAATTAATTCCCCAAGTATTTAAAATCGGCAGTTTTAATACTCAAGTATTGCTCGCGCAGAATTATTCCCCAACTAATAGTTGACTGCGCGAAATTAGGAATGAAATAGTCAAACCGTTAACTGGTTAACGGAAAGATAACGGTTGACTATTTCGTTCCTAATTTCACACAGTCAACTATTAGTTGGGGAATAATTCTGCGCAATAAATACTTGAGTATTTAATTTACCGATTGAAAATACTTGAGGAATTTAAAACATCAATACTTTTTTAAAATATATATAATTTAAAAGATGAAATATATTTTTAAGCTTTTACAATAACATATACAATAATAAAAATAGTTATAGTTGCAGTTTATTGTTGATGTACTTCATGTTTAAAAAATCACATATGGATGATTTCATATCATTTACAGAATCATATGTTGTAAATTAGATCTCAATTTTAGACTAGAGATGGCAAAAAATATCGAACCGAATGAAACCGAACCAACTGAATCGAAACAACTCCAGACCAAACTGAATCGAGTTAAACCGAACCGAGAAAACAATCTGTTTTTGTTATTATTTGAAAACTAGAATCTCTATTAACTTTATTCAATATACTTAAATCCTAACACTAACGATTAACTTTATTAACGCTTTTTAAAAAAATAAAAAAATCTGTTTACTTTAGTTAACTTTGGTTTAGTTGTGTTCTTATAAAAAATGTTGATTTTCAGATTTTTTTTTTCAGTTTTATATTATAATTATAATATAAAACTGTGTGATCATGTTTTATGTAAATTAATTATAATATAAAACTGAAAAAAAAAATCTGAAAGATCACCATTTTTTATAAGAACACAACTAAACCAAAGTTAACTAATGTAAACAGACTTTTTTATTTTTTTTAAAAGCGTTAATAAAGTTAATCGTTAGTGTTAGGATTTAAGTATATTGTATAAAGTTAATAGAGATTTTAGTTTTCAAATAATAACAAAAGCACATTGTTTTCTCGGTTCGGTTTAACTCGGTTCAGTTTGGTTTGGAGTTGTTTCGATTCAGTTGGTTCGGTTTCATTCGGTTCGATATTTTTTGCCATCCCTAGTCTAAAATTGAGATCTAATTTACAACATATGATTATGTAAATGATATGAAATCATCCATATGTGATTATATAAACATGAAGTACATCAACAATANTGTTTCGATTCAGTTGGTTCGGTTTCATTCGGTTCGATATTTTTTGCCATCCCTAGTCTAAAATTGAGATCTAATTTACAACATATGATTATGTAAATGATATGAAATCATCCATATGTGATTATATAAACATGAAGTACATCAACAATAAACTGCAACTATAACTATACTTATTATTGTATATGTTATTGTAAAAGCTAAAAAATCTATTTCAAAAAGTAAAAATCTCGTATATTGATTGTATCTGACTTGAAAATCTTTTAAATTATATATATTTTAAAAAAGTATTGATGTTTTAAATTCCTCAAGTATTTTCAGTCGGCAAATTAAATACTCAAGTATTTATTCCGCAGAATTATTCCCCAACTAATAGATGACTGTGTGAAATTAGGAACGAAATAGTCAACCGTTATCTTTCCGTTAACCAGTTAACGGTTTGACTATTTCATTCCTAATTTCGCGCAGTCAACTATTAGTTGGGGAATAATTTTGCGCGAGCAATACTTGAGTATTAAAACTGCCGATTTCAAATACTTGGAGAATTAATTGCCCATTTTCCCATTGTTCCTCCTAGATCAACAAATTTAGAAATTTCAAAGTCTTCGAAATTGGTAAATGAACAAAGCTTTGATCAATTAAACAAGAAGTCAAGAACAGTGTGTACAAGGTTTAAGAAGTTTCAGGAAAGTGATATGATTATTTCATAAACTGATCATCTCTTAATAGTACAACATTTAAGGCAACAAGAGCAGAGAGTAGGGTTTTATCTTCTATTTGCTTCAAATCTGTAGAGCATCAGCGATGGATCCCGCGAGACTCAAGACTTCGAAAGGAGCTTTGTTTCCTATGGCCTTAACCGTCTGTGGGCAAGAGTCGGTGATCCAGAAGTAAGCAAACGCTTCTTCTAGTCCTGATTTTGAGACAAAAACAACAAAAAAGAGTTTAGGCTATCAGTTTTAAGGATAGAAGAAAAGAGATGAACAATTGACAAAGTCAGTAGTTACCGTTGTTCTTGTGAGTGAAACGCTCCCATGAGCTATTAGGAAAGACACCATGAGTTACATAAGCACTCACCTTCGCTGCTCCATGAGCTGCCAATACTTTCTGTGTAGAAAAGGTTTAAATGAGTTTTGAGCTCACACTTGAAGATTGCTATAGTTATATGCAAAATTCTAGAAGACTATTTAGTTGATGACTATACCTGGCACTCGATGAGTGTACCACCAGACTGCACAAGATCATCAACGATGACAACGTGGCAACCAGAAGGGTTTCCTTCCTTAAGCCTAACTATTCTCTTATCGCCTTCACGAACTTTTGTGCACACCACCTGCATTATGATTCAACATTGAGTCTCATTATTAAGGTATTGTGTTGCTCATAAGACTGATAAAACAGCAGTTTACAAACCGTGGGGTAGTGATCCAACAGCTTGTGGAAACGCTTCCAAGCTCCATCATCAGGAAACGCAACTATGATCTGCAAACAAAAAAAAGGAACCAAATCAAACTTTCTAACTTACATTGTACACATCATTTATCATCTCAGCTAACGAACTAACATTCTCAGTGTCAGGAAGCTGTTGAAGACGTTTCGTCAACAAAGGGATCCCAGTCTCAAACAAAGGAAGAACCTGATCAGCAAAGTAAAACCTTTCCTGCAAACACACACAAGACAGGACCAGATAAAGATGATTAAACACTTGAAAGTCAGAGGAAGGTACTAGTAACCATACCTGAAGAGCGTGAATGTCATAGATGACAACACTAGTCGGACCACCACGTGAGATAGGAATGTTAGAAACAATCCTAGCCATGGTGAAAGCAGTAGCTACATCACCTTCCTCCTCCATCCTCTCAAAGGAGCCAGTTGGGAAGAAAGGCAACACCAAAGTGAAGGATGCAACAAACAAGCGAGGGAGCAAGTAAATAACAGAGATCTGCTCAAAGATAACAGCAGGAGAGCTGAATGAAGCAAGGAACGCCACGTGTTGGCCTCTGATTTCATGTGCGTTGTTGATAAACAGATTCGGGAATCCATCAGCAAAACTCCTGAAACCAAAACATAAAACCAATGAACAAAACCCTAAAGCTGAGAGCTTTGAATACTTAAAGCCTTTCCACACAATAAAGTAATGATTTTTTTTTTTTTTTTGGCAGAGTGAATCAAAATTTCACAACAAAGTTATGATTTTTACTTAACCTAAAGTCACAAAAAGCTATGAACTTTATTGAATGGGGGAGGGAAAGAGGGAAGGTTTAACCTCCAGTTAATGGATTGAAGAGTGATGTGGTCAGATTCGGCGGCGATGTTGCGAGCGAGTTCTTCACACTCTAAGCAGTAAAAGAGATGAACTTTCTTCTTCTGTAGTTCAGAGACGATGGCGTCTTTACAAATCTGGTTCTTCTCCATGATGATGTTGTTGTTGTTGGCTGCGTTCTCA